GTTGAAATACACTGGTCACTGAGAAACTGAATGTTTTCCCAAGGATATTCTTGTTTCAGTCTTTCCATAAGGATGAAACAGATAATACTGTTAGCATTTATGTGGATAAAGAGTGGTAGACAGAGTACATACTTAGTGCAGATCTATTAAACTGGGTTGCCAAACAATTTCAAATATCGGATGGTACTATTATTTCCATGTGGTAGAACTGCAGCGTATGCAGAGTGCTCTGCTCCAGCTTCTATTGTCTTAGAAAGAAAAACATTTAGAAGTATGTGTGTACCACTAAAATACTGTGAATCCATGCAAATCAAGTTTTCCCCTCCTTTAATAAAGACTTATGGATTAAAGATTTATGAACCTAAAATAGAAGCCTGAAATAACTGTAAACTTCTTGAACTACTGAAAGTAGTGCTGGAGTGTAGCTCATAACCAGGTATTACAAAGTGCCAAATATTATCCTTTGATAAGTCTCATGGCATTTTTAGCAGCAATTAAGATTTTTCATCTGCTAGTGCACTATCAATATCCTAGACTATCAATATCTAGAGACTACCAGCATAGTTTAAATACTTGAAAGTGGTCACCAAAAGATGGGATAGTAAACTATTATTTTTGTTCACAAAGCACATTTGCCTTGAAAACCCTGAACTCTTTTCCTTTGGTAGGTGTGTCTGGTTTCACAGATGAGATGTCACTTTCATTAAGCTCAGTAAAACAAAAGTCACCAGAAGCTATGTGATCCAATTGGTGTAAAGAAACTAATTTTGAAACATAGTACCAGGTTGTTAAACATCTTTTAGAAAATGTACAGAGAAGTATATTCTCGGACTCAAAGCTTGGTGTTCATATTTTTGGATAAAAGCTCTGCCTGTAACTCCAAATTTCTTATTTTTTTTCATGCTGTATGACTCAAAAGAAAATCCATGTTTACAGTCAGTGAAAATATGAATAATATAGAACCCAAATGTGATACAGAACACAAAGTGCAAAATTTTGAATCAAGCAGACTGATTTTGCAGAATTTCTACTCAGAAGGGTAATTGCATTGTAAAACATTTCTTCTTTGATTTGCAATACTCACAGTAACAGGTTAAAGAAATTGTATGCTTTCTACTTCATGCCCACGCCTATGCTGTGAGATGCACTTAACATTTGAGTAATATTTAACAACCAAACAATACTGTTCCTATTTTTGGAAAATTATATCTATTGGAGTGTTGCAGAAATACTGAGAAAACACAGTCAGCAAAATAATATATTCGCTTTTTAATTCAGATGAAGATTTACGTGAAAAATACAAGAGAGTCAGTATTACATGCACTGAGTAAAAAAAGCACTGCAGTTTCACGTAGATGTCCCATCCAAAAGATAAGCTTGTTCAATGATTCTGTCAAGTATTTGCAATGGAACATAAAGTGAAGCAAAAAGTTAGTAATACAGTCATAGTTGCTCCCTTTCTTATCCACCCTAACAGCTAAAAACCCTCAGCAAGGCTTTCATCATCTAGTATCTCATTTATTGTAATAACCTTTCCCTGAATAATCCATTTGTCACTGCTCATATTTTTCCAGAATGCTGTCGCAAAATTCATTTCCATGTCAGTTTTACATGAACTCTCCCTTCTCCAATACATCTTGTATAAAGTAGGGCCTGTGTAATTTTACATTTCACATTGATATCTGGGACAACAGTACTAGCAAATTGTATAAAGATTAAAATGTTCCATGAAACGAGTAGTACTGAACTTGTGCTGTCCGGTTAATTTTGATTGTGATCTGCATTAGCTCCTTCTAATCTTTTGCTGTTGGTTCATGTTTGCAATCCATACTTCATAAATTTAGAGACTTTGAATTTTGTCTTTTAAAAGCATAGCATTGAAATAACACAATGCAAAACAATTTCCATTTCCTTTCCATGTTGCAGATTTCTGTATGAAATTTTATAAGGTAATTAGCTTCATCAGCTTGCTTTCTAAGGGATTTTTAATAAATGACTGCTTTTAAAAATTCCTATCACAGACAGTTATCCTTAAATATAACTATTAAAAATATAATGTTATCTAAGGTTGTATGCCATGAATAAATCCTTACTCTTGTTTCAAGACTTGTGCAATGTTTAATTTGAGCCTGAGTGAAAATATCTTTTTCTTCTATCTCTTTATATGTAAATGTGTGCAAGTACCTGTGTATTATATTTATATTGGTTAACTGCATATTGCCCAAAGTACCCTGTAGTGTGCTTTTAAATTCTACATGTTGTTTTATGCTTGCAAGAGTTGGCAAGTGAATATACTGAATGTTTTGGCCTGAGCTACATTACAGGATTGAGGTCAGTAAGTTCTGTTCTATTAGTGTTTCTGAAGAAACATTTCCTCTAGGAATTCTGTGACACCACTGTCCTGATTTGTCCTGCCACAGCATTCTTTCAGTTGTTCTATTTTGTGTATTAACTTAAAATTTAACTTTTAGGAATTGTTTAATTATTTTATAGAGTTTCTTCAAGATTCTGTGGATTAAGAGAGATTCATGAAAAAGAGATGCTAAAATCCAACTATACATTTAAAGTTGAGGAATTCACTAGGTCATTTCACTAGGTATTTTCACATTTCCAGAGAGTAAGCAATTGCTATTCCATATTTCATTAAGATAGGTCCTCCTTCTTTGGAAATTTAATGCCAAAATATCTAAGCTTATTATCTCTACACTTTTGAAGTCATCTGTCATCCTTTACTGTTTAAGCCAAAATGCTATATCTGTGATTTAGAGTACTTTAATTCATACCTTCATTGCTGAAAAAAATCTCAACTTTTCTGTAATCCATCCCAACTGTATTATGTATATTATATGAAGAATATACCATCCTAAGAATATGACATCCAGTTTCTGGTCCCAATAGCCAAATCTCTCCACCTTATTCTGTGTCCTCACTCAGCTACACAAAATGGCTTTCTAATTAAAAAAAGTGGTAAGTATTAGAAATATCCATGTCTTTTTCTTCCATATAATGTTATTGTTTCTGGATATTTTTACTAGTTTTTTGCTGTGAAATATAGGAGTGAAAAATATCACTTCTACCTAATAGCAAGTTCAGTTTTGTAAAAACAAAGACAAGAAATTGGTACACTAAGGATTCCTGCCCCAGGCTCTCTCTAAATTACATTATGCTCAGAGAAATTTGGTGTAGTAGCTCATATTATCATTACTATTTTATATAATGAAGAAAAAAATTGTAAGGCCTAAGAATGATTTGCAAAGGACCCGAAGTCCTTGGATGACTGATCCCCCTTTTTTGTGTTATGGTGCATGACACCAGAAACGTTAACACTCAGGAGCTGTTGCTGGAGGCAGTGGGAGATGGAAAATGCCCCCCCAAGCGCTGAGTGCCTTTCAAGGATGAAACCATGGCTCCACTAGAGACCTCTATCTCTGTGCTGGTGTCAGTTGCACCCTGGCATGCAGGCAACAAGGTGGGTGGCAATGAAGTTCCTCTGGTATTTTAATGTTCAAACAGTCTGTGAGTTTCGCTTAGCCCACATCTTAACATTATTACTCTTTTACACCCCAAATAAACTCAGATATGCCAAATATACTTACATAACATGAAAGTGATGGACTTGATCCTGCAATAATGGGCCTGGTGAAGGTTCCATGGTCCATAACACAGTATGGACTGGAATAATAAATGATAAATAATAAATAATAAAATACATAATTTAGTAATGCAATTAATTATTGGCATAATAATTATATGTAACCTGTAAATTCCATAAAGAAAAGTAACTTCAGAAGTACCAACAGCTACAACACCAAGGAAAATATTTTGGATTTTACTCAGTAATTTAGCAGATTACAGGACAATGTCTTAATTTATTAATTATTTCAGCGCTTTCTGATTAAAAACCCTGCAGTTTTCTTTGGTGGCTCTTGCTCTCACAAACACAGCTCATGGCTTCCCTAGAGCAAAGATGACAGCTGATGGTCTTTTGATTGCACTCCACCTGGGGAACTACTTAGCTGGCTTCTCTGAGAAGCTGCCAGAACTATCTGATTGAGCCAGTACCACCTGGATCTGAGACGAACCTGCTGCTGGCCAAGGCTGAATTGCAAACGAAGCTGGAAGTACCTCTGGGATAACATATTTAAGAAGGAGGGGAAAAAATGGTGCAACTGCAGCAAGAGAGAGAGATATTCAGATTTGGTTTTATTTCTCCTTATCCTACTCTGGTTTGATTAGCAGTAAATTAAAATAATTTCCCAGGTTTCTTATCAGGCAGAAAATATCAGAGTTTCACAACTAAGTTTTGGGGATATCTCTTGTCCGGAAAAGATAGAAGAGGAAAAAGCCCCTTCATCACTTGGAGGTTCTTTGCCCTTTCTGGAGCTCTGGGCTTGAAGGGATGTTGCTTTTCCAGCCATTGATTTCTGCAAGGAAAAGATGGGACTTGTAGAGTCTACAAAGTATCTGCTTTGCAGTGGGCCTTTTTTAAGAACTCTACCCACTTAGTTTGCTGGTGTGTGTGTAACAAGCTCACTGGGAAGAAAGTAAGATTTGCTTTTGTCTAATATTAGGCAGGAAAGCAGTTAAATATGCTGGGTTTGGGAATAATTGGAACCTAAGTATTAAAAACAAATTTTAAGGCTATTAATCTAAAAAAATAATTCTCCTAATGTTAATCTCTTAGATGAATCCCACAGTGTTTTTAGAGGAACATTAAGCTTCTTCAAAGGAGCTGGCAGAAATAGGAATTCTGTATTAAATGTTTCCTATGGAATTACTGGTATTGTGTCCATATGTGTGTATGTTTGTGTCCCCATCAATTCCCCTTAAAAATATCCTGTTTCTCCAAGTTTCAAGGAATGAGTGCTGAGGTGAGAGAACAATTTAGTGACCCAAAGGAGAGAAAACTTGCAACATTGTTAGGCACCAGAGAACTTAGAAAGGGAGCAGGATGGATGCCTCCACTTAGGGAGAAAGCTTCAGAATTGATTCTCCACTAAATGACTTGCACCATCTCAGAGCCAGAGGAGACCCAGCTGCAAGAGTTCTTCTCGTTCTCCAGTTCAGGTAATGTGGTATTGTCTCTTTGATGGAGTCAGGATCCTGTGCATGCTCAGCTGGAGGCACTTTACAGAGAAGCACAGAGAACACAGAGAGCCTTCCCTGCACTGCTTTCCCCTGTTCAGAGGACTCCCAAGGCATGCCCTGATGGGAAGGTCCTCAAAGCAAACTTGCCATAGAAGAAGTAAAAGCAGCAATGATAGCACAACCGTTATTTATCCCCGTTGGGTTCCCTGGGGTTCTGTATGGAATGCTGGGCTTGTGCCCCAGCAACCGTTGTTGTCCCCTGCTCCTGCAGCCGTTGGTGGAACACAGGTGGATCGCTGGTGGAGCGGCAGCTGCAGGATCTGGTCCTGGGCTTTCTCTAAACAGCCAGCTCCTAGCCTCAGCCCCGGATCTGGCTTCTGGGTCAACATTCTCATCTCCTCCTGTGCTCCCAGAATTGCTTCAGGGCTGCCAAAGGTAAGAAAATCCTTGTTTGCCCTTAAACTGGTATCAGAAGTGCAGGAGAGTCCAGCTGGCTGTCCCACCGACCACAACAAACATGGTCTATGGTCGCTTTCCCCAGAAGAGGTTATAAATTAAAGTGGGGTCCATCTTCTCTAGGAATAATTATGCCTCCAGTGGAAATGTGGACATTTCAATAGACGAGATAGGGAGATGTCATGCTGCAGTTTCAGATCCTTGTCCACTGATGATCTGGTTATCAGTTCTTGGTACCTCTTTAAGTAGTAAAACTACATTGTGGTTACCCTTGAACAATCCTGGGCTTGTCCTCCAATACTGGCTTTGACCCCCCACAAAATGTTCTGGTTTTAATTATTATTATATTTGTATATTTATATAAAATTTAAATTTGTATTTATATTTGTATATAAATTATAGATACATTCTATTTTAATATATGTATATAGACTTTTTATTTTTTACATATATTGAATATCTTTTCTAGATAGATATTTGTATAAATTTCTCCATGTTTTTCAATGCCCTGCGGGCAGGCAGTAAGGAAGCTTCCTTCAGTCCTGTTACTGGTCACTAGAGAGAAGAGATCAGTGCCTGCCCCTCCGATTCCCCTCATGGGGAAGCTGCAGACTGCTATAAGGGCTCTCCTCAGAAGTTCCAAGTGAAAAACTCAGCAATTACACCAAACTGAGGGGAATTAAGAGAGAATAGCTAGTGGTTTGCAACAATGAGGATGAGAAGGAAGTCTACAGGGCAGCATGGGCAGAATGATTTTTACCTGGAGCATTGTTTTGATCTCTTTCAGGTGGAAAGGAGAGGGAAAATGAAGAGGAAAGCAAGAGTCCGCATTAAGCCGTGAGTTCTGGCATAGTGATTAAAGGATAGCAAATCTGGGGAATGAAAGGAGGGAACTGCTGTTTCACAGTCAAAGTGGGATTGGTTCAAGCCCATGGGTCCATGGGATGTTCTCTTCACCACTTGCCTTTCTCATCTCCACTTCCTTTAGACACATCAGTGTTGGCAACGACTTTCAGGCTGAGCTCCCTGAGCTGCAGGCCAGACCCCCAACTGAGGATGAAGAACACGCATCCCTGGTCTGGAAGCCGTGGGAGGACACTGATTCTGTCATGGAAACACATGACAGAGGTATCTGCATGCTGTTTTCCCACCCCTGAGATACTTGGGTTTGAAAACCCCTCATTTTTTGGTAAAAAAGAAGCTTCCTGCATGCTTCGCTGCTCTTCTTGTCTCTCCCATCTTCCCACATTGTAGTATTAGAGGGAAGGAGATTTCTCACTTTTAGCAGACCAGCAAAAAGAACAATTTTTATGCTCAAGGGCATTTGTCACTGGCCAACAACTCTGAAAGAAGGGAGATTTATCCCTACTTACCATTACCAAAGCTGCTTTTAAGAGAGAGACAGCACTTCCTTGGGACATCTCAACCTTTCTTCCTGGCCTTTTCATGTTCGTCAGTCTATCTTCAGCTCTTCTGCTTTCCTTCTCCCTTGTAATGCAACTTTTCCCCTTTCTTTGCCCAAACCTGACTTTCTGTGCATTTTTAATGTGCTTATAGTGAGAGATCTGCTTGACATGGCCATCTCCAGTGGCATTCCTGGGGCAGCAGCTAACCTGGAGCTTGCCCTACACTGCCTGCATGAGGCGCAGGGCAATGTTCTGGTAAGAAGCAGATATTTGGAAGGAATGAATAGGGGAATTAATGGACAGAGAATTAATAAGGACTGGGGACTGGGACAGCCTTTGCTGCCTGCTCTTTGAAGAAGGGATTTAACAAGGAGCACTCGCCATGTGCTGTGTCTCCACGAAGAGGCTCTGCCAGCCCAGGTGCTGCAGCAGGGAAAAGCCCAAAATGGTTCAAGCAGGGGGAAAGCCTCTCCTGGAGGCACTGGTCCCTCAGCTTGCTCCCTTAAAATCTCCTGGGGATCTGTATTCTCTAAGACATTTTGGTGTGGATTGAGGAAAAATTTCCAAAAGCCTCTGTGGGCTGAGGATGCAAGATGAGCAAAATCATTGGGTTGGTGAGCAAAATTATGATATTGGAGAGTAGAATTGAAGGGCTGAGGAGCAAAATGAGGGACTGAGGAGTAAAATCACAAGGTTTTACCTATATAATCAAAATCTTCCCCCAGCAGACTGAATCACTGAAGTGGTAAAGTAGCTGAAAGAAAGCATTTACCTTTTTGATTCATTGTGGTTGGATGCTAAAGTTTTTTTCTCCTCAATCCTGCAGGAGGCTCTGGAGATGTTCCAGTCAGGGCAGCCTCAGACACCTCAAGGCCATCCCTTGGCTGATTATCATTATGCAGGTAACTGAAGTAGAGCTTGTTCCTTTGCTGACAGATACTGCCATCCACTTAATTGCCATGTCAAGCATTTATTGTTAAAAAAGTAACATGAGAACAAGATCTCGTGTTCCTTGGGGGTAGGGAAAGCAGCAGCATTTACCCCTTTAGTTTAAATTGTTTTCTGTGCTTTTTTCCCTGGGGAATGCCTGTTCTTGTCTTCATTGCTTTCCAAAGGAGAGATGTCGATAATTGAATAATGAATGATGCTGATTCCTCTTTGGCTGCAAGTGATCTGTTTTACCAGAGGGATCTGTTTCAAATTGGTAGAGTGATCAATTTACCTGTTGCTTTTTATTGCCAGGCTCTGATACATGGACACCTCATGAGAAGGAGTCATTTCAAATGGCTTTTCACACCTATGGGAAGGATTTTCATCTCATCCAGAAGGAGGTAAAGCCACTGGACATTATTTGCCCTAATGGACAATTACAATGGGATGTTGATTATTTCTGGTACCAAATACCAGAATTGAGTATCTCTCTTCTCAAATACTAGAAGTTTTAAAATAATAACAAAATGGTACACTGACTGCCTGTGTGAAAGGTGTGATTCTGCCCTTCCAGCCCTTTTTTCCAAGCTTTTTTGGAACAGGAAGGTTTATTTTCTGTCAGACAGACCTCTCCTGTATGTGTGCTGGCACTTCCATGGCACACTGCAGTGGGATAACCGGAGAGAATGGGGAAAACAAATATCATGCTGGATGGATTTGCTGTTGATCTGGGCCTTAAATGTTTTCCTATATGACATAACACATTTAACTACATTGCATAATACCTACTTTATTCCCTATTTATTTAATTTTACTTCCTATTCCTCTTGCTCCACTTTCTTAGTTGCTATTTTACTCTCTACTCTAATTTCTCTCCAATGCACAGTACAAGATTGCCATTTTAGATTCCTTCTGTTGTCTCACAACAGATTCAAAGTAAGACTGTGGCACAGTGTGTGGAGTACTACTACTTCTGGAAAAAAGAACGTAGGATTGCTCCCCCTCCTGCTCAGGTGAGTGGGAAAAAAAAATCAAGAAATGCAAGGAGGGTCAAAAGGTTGGGAAAAGGGGAGAAAACCTGCTGGGAGGGCTTGCGAGATGCCGCTCTGCCAGGAACACATCACCCCGTGCACTGGGAAAGGCACAGCAGATGCTGCCCAGGGCTTTATTGCATTGCTGCTTTGAAATATTGACTTCTGTTGAATAACTTTGACCCAACAAATCCACGCCATCACCAAAATGGGCTTTGACTCCTTACAGACTTCTTTCAAGAAGTGCTGGCACCCTCGCTGATTTCAATCAGATCCTTAATTCCCCACTACTTCCTAACATGGGTAATCCTGGTTGGGTTAAACTAGAGGCTGCAGATTTTCAGGCATCTTTCCTAGCATCCCAGCACGCTCACTAAAAGGAGCTGCTGTTGCTGTGGCTCTGGTGAAACTTTTCTTGCCAGCAAACAGGAATTTGGTTCGCAGAAACAGAGAATATTTTGGGTGGTAGAAACTGGGTAACTGTGTATCTTCAGTAATTTGACTGAATTTTTAACCTGTTCCCTAGACATTTGTAGAGGAAAAAAATATATAAATAGATAATAAATAGAGAGATATAAATGATAAATGTAGAAGTAGCTATATAGATAATTACATATTTATCCCACCACTTTGGGCAGTAGAAATGAGATGGTTTTTCTTCCAAGTGCTGTGTGTGCTCCCCATCCTTGCAGCCCAGTCCAGGCATTTTCTCAGCTCTTTAGCGTTTGGAGGAGTTTGCTTGGGCCGATACATTTTTGTACTGGACACTCTAATTTCCAGCTTTCTGAAAAGAAGGAAAAATTCATAAAGACTCTTTGATTTTCAGACTGTGGGCAGACCAAAGAAGAGCAAAAGCCCTCCCAAGGAGGAGAATGGGGAGATGGAGAAGAGAAGCCGAAGAAGGCCCCGCAGCACTGTATGTCCATGCTGCAAATCGCCACAGCCACCCCGCTCAGCAGGAGGCCTGTTTCCGTGTAGGACATGCAAACGGTGTGAAACTTATTCTTCCTTCTGCTAAAGACCTGCTGCTTTAGACTAAAACAGACTGAACTTTTCTAAGGCAGTTGGAGGATCACCTCTCACAGCTGTGTTCAACATTACAACTCACTTTAACCCCAACCAGCTTATTTAAACCTCAGCATTCAGAACCCTTGCTGTGTCCCAACAAGACAGAGTTCATAGAAGTAGGAAAAACAAAACTTGGTTTAATGGAGTTAATCAGATTAAAAATATGATGTCCTGAAAAGAAAGAGAAATTTGAAAGAGTTGAAATAACAAAGCTCAATTTCATGGTGCTTATCAAATTAAGAATATGTCAAATCCCCAAAAGATGGAAATTCTTAAAAATGAAAATCTTGAAGCTTGGTTTAATGATGTTTACTGAATTAAAAAATAAAGGAATTCAAAATGCTGTTTTGTTTCCTAACTTCCAGGGTGTTTGAAACAATGAAGGAAAGGAACAGACATGAGAGAAGGCATTGCCCACAGAAGGAAGATGAGCCTCACCCCAAGAAGAAAAGACTAAATTATGGGGTGTCTGGGGCTAGCAAGAGTTAGATGTAAATAGGAGTTGATGTAAATTAGATTGGTTTTTAATGTTTTAGGGTTGAGGTTTTTTCCTGTTTAGTTTTTTAGAAAGAGATTTTAATTAGTTACTGTAAGAGGTTTGGTGTTATGATCTATATTTTATCTTTTTGCATTTATTAAGTCATTAAACCAAAGTTCATTCCATTTTGTCTCTTTGTCTTTATGAAAACATTATCCAAAGTTTGTTATGCTTCCTTGGTGTTGTGAACAGAGCATTTGCCATGAAAAAAGAACCTGGGCATGCACATTCTTCTGCAGGCCCAGCCTCTCGCTCAGCAGGCGGGGCACTGCAAAGGGGGGTCCTCACTACTGCCACTGAAACAATGGTGGGATTTTATCCTTTGATTCATAGAAATATCAAGTGGGAGTGAAAAGGAAGGCTTTGATTAATTCAATGAATTGGATCTAAATTAGTGGTCTCATCTCATTGTACTTGGAGGGATAAAATGCTTTTTTTTGGTCGTTTTTGTTGCCAAGCCACAAGATTTTCATGGCTTTATTTTATTTCAGTAAATGGATGGACTTGACCACCTTCAAGGTCTTTTCCAACCTGTCTGATTCTATAAAATTAATATACACATTCAGTACAAAGAAATCAGTAGTTCAGTTTCATTTTCTCTTTGATAAAAAGACCAGCCTCCAGCTCTGGGCCTCAATAAACCTCCTTACCTAATGCAGAGGGGTGCAAACACTATCCTCTAGCTTCTCATAGCTTGTATTTGCAACAAAAAAAGCATCAAAGTCACTTTTTTATCTAGCCCAGTGCATGGGGGTTGCATGGCAAAGTTTTGGTAGCGGAGAGTGGGGGAATGGAGTGCAGGATGAGGGAGGGGGAACTACTAGTCTGGCTCTGACAGGCTTCCAGGAGCTTCCTGGTGTCTGATGGAGCCAGTGCAGGCGGGCATTGCAGAGTCTATAAAGTACTTGCTTTGCAGTGGGCATTTTTTAGGAACTGTACCCACTCAGTTTGCTGTTGTGTGTGCAGCAAGCAGGCAGGGAAGGAAGTGGGACTTGCTTTTGTCTAATATTAGGCAAGAAAGCACTAAAATCTGCTGGAGTTTGGCATATTTGGAACCTAAGTATTAAAACAAATTTTAAGGCTATTATTGTGAAAAGGTAATTCTTGTAATGTTAGTCTCTTAGATGAATTCCATAGTGTTTTTAGAGGAACATCTAGCTTCTTCAAGGGAGGTGCCAGAAACACATAGGAATTCTGCATTAGATGTTTAAAGGTACATGATCGCTTTAGAGCAATTGACTTTCCCATAAATTTCTATTCTCCATGTTTTTAAGGGTTTGGGTGGATCAGGTATTGTTTTGATACAATTTTTGTTATCAAGATTGGTATTACTGTGATCTGCTCTTTATACTAATGTGTAACTTCTCTCTGCTCCAAACAAAAGCTTGCCCTAAAACCCAGCTAGATTTAAATAATAGCAAGAGAAGAGTTTTAATATCTTTTCTTATATATTCTTTATATCTTTCAGGTAGCAATTTTATTACATTTTAAAGCTTTTCTGTTGCAACCATGAAAGACAATATTTAAGATAGGTATTTTCATGGGCCTATTTTCATCTGACAGTTGAGATTAATTTAATTCCTATTAAGCCCTGATTTCTGTTGCTTCATAACTCTTTCTGTTTTTATATCACTTCTTCAACTAAATAATTGTTTAAATAAAAAAAATTCTATATTAGTTATTTACTTGGAACAACAAAAATACAAATCAGGTGGCTCCACACACAAAGTGACGAATGAAGCAATGAAAGCCATAGCATCCAATAGTAATTATAATAAGTGGCTTAGCTAAAAATTTGTAAAATGAGTATCTCATCACTCATTTTGACTTGCCTGTCTTATTTAGATAGAGATGTCTCACAGCTTTGCTGTAATTTAGCTTTAATAACATCCCTGTTAAGTAGATGCCTGTTGAACAGACAAGCATTACTTAAATAATGACACTTCAGAAGTGAATTAACTTTCTCCTTTGCAATTAAGTAGCTGTTCATCACCATTCATCAGCTTACTAAATCATCTTTCAGTATCTTCATTATTAAGTATTAGCCACCCACAGTGTAGGCCATACAGTAACTCCTTTCCAGGACTAGGTTTGAGTCCTTTACATACTGATGGTACTGGAAAGGAGAGGATAACTACTCAAAAATCTCAGGGTAGATGACTTTTAAGGTTATGAAGAACAAAGGCATTTACTTGGCTGACACAGTAATAAAATGCTAGGTTATTATAACAGTGACTTGTATATGAACTGCTTTACTCAAATTGCATATACATCTACAAGCTCCATATTCTGCCCCAGATTTGTTAGATTCAGATCAAGAGAGAATAGGACAAAAAGTGTATGATGCTTTCTTCATATCTTCTATGAAGATATTACACTAACAGTAAATGTCTGTTTTCTAAACATAAAAATCACAGAATCACAGTTGTCAAAGGTCAGCTAATGACTTCAGTGACTTAGATTTCCCATGGGCCATAAATCTTTATCTGGTTAATCCAGTTTTGAGCCAAACAAGTGGAATTTAAACCAAACAATTGGAGTCTGTTGAAGAAAATAAGCACATAGTCCTCATCTGTAAATATGTTGGCTTTTTTTTTTTTTTTGTTCCAGTAACTAGCCACTTTAATTTTATGGATAGGTAGCTTATTTTGTATTTTATGGCTTTAATTTCAACTCATCACTATTGTGCATACCTTAGGTGACTTCATTCTTTATTAAGTTTTATTTTCCCCTGATGAGATACAGGCACATCCTAAAAAAGGTGCCTTTCATCTCTCTTTTGGTTATCCCAGTAAAATTGAACTGATAAAGTTCTAAGTTTCTGTAACGCTTTCTCTTTTTTTTCAAGTTGTGAAAAAGTTGTTTTCAGTCTCTTTCGTATCTTTTCTTGTTCACAGAATTACATAAGATAGTAAAGGTTGGATGAGGCCACTGGTGGTTATCTAGTCCGATCTCCTTGCTCAAGCAGGGTCTCCTAAAACAACCGTACTAAGGAATGTGCAGACAGCTTTTGAATATCTCTGGAGAAGGTGTCTCCACAACCTCTCTGGGCAATCTGTTGTAATGCATGGTCACCCGGACAGTAAAGAAATTCTTCCTCAACTTCCTGTGTTCCAGTTTCTGCTCATTGCCTCTTGTCCCAGTCAGGGACTCAGCATCACTGAGAACAGCCTGGCTATACAAAAAATGTCCTCTTGACAGACTCCTATCAGATACTTGTATACACTGAGGAGTCTCCTCTCAGTCATTTTCTCTCGAGGCTGAACAGGTCCAGTTCCCTCAGACTTTCCTCATAAAAGAGATGCTCCAGTCCCATCACCTTCACAGCCCTCTATTGGACCCACTCCAGTAGCTCCATATCTCTCTTGTTGTATCCAGAACTGGATACAGCATGCCAGGTGAAGCCTCACCTGTGATGCCAGCCCAGCTGATGCTAAAGAAAAAACCTCAGGAGCAGCAAGGGTGAGATAAGGAATTTGTGCCAAGGACTATCTGTCCAATCCCAAGTGGTTCCACCCCATTACTTTTGCTCTGGTCCGCCCCGGTCCCACTCCCTGGGAATTGGGTCTGGGGACCTTTTGGGACCACTTCTACATCACCATCACCATCTTCAGAGCACAAAGGGTACATGGTCACCCAGTTCTTGACTGTGTTCTGTTGTTCAGGTCAAGATATGAGTGTTCTCCAAACAGCATAGGCCTTGCCTTGACAAAAGACTAAACATTTCTACTGAATTCAGGGGTAGGATTGATGTGGGGTGCATGGAATGGGGTAAGAGGGTTGAGGAATGTGTAAACTACTTGTGCTACAGGGTGAGGGATAAGGACTGCTACTTCTAAAATCTACTTTTACTACTTATAAAACTTATAAAGCTTACAAAATCAGAAAAATAAGAAACTAAAAGGGTCTTAAGGCATCACATGGGCTGAGTAGAGGGACAGGATCAGCTCTCTCGACCTGCTAGCAATGCTAAGTTATTACTAATGCTTAAAATAATAAATTAAATTAAAAAATATAATATTTTTATACTGATAGCAGAACTGAAAATGATAGTCCTGTACTACTTCTTTTAACTACTTTCTTGAAATGCAGCCTAAGACTCCATAGAAATGATAAATTTCAAACTAGTTATGTAACAAATTATTTGACTTCTGTTTTTTTCCCTTGGTCATGGGACTAGAATGCTTTCCAGTATATTTGCCTGCCTTTCTTCCTCTTGTTTTTGAGGCTTATAAAAGGTACAGTGACTGCATATCCATGACAGATGGTCAAATAATACATATTGTGAGCAGAAACTTGACTTACATCTCCAAAACCTTGCCTGGTTTTTGATTTCTTCTTGGATGGGATTCATTTGACTAAATGAACCTGTCTTACCAGTATTTTACAATGTATTTCTCAACATCTGATCTATTTATCAAATACACCATCTACACTTAACAGCAAGCAATAGAAATAGAATTAGAAACAGAAATAATAGAAATAGTGTGTGATACAACTGACCAAGCATAGATATTTATTTTAGAACAAAATTCTTTGGTGTCCAGTAATAAATCCTATTCCTTGTGTAGATTCCTGTTCCATCTTGAATGTCATTGATACCTTTGTTTTCTCTGCCATTCTAACAAGAAGTATTGGGTGATGACTGATAGGCTTCTTCTAGAACAGTTTATGAATCTTCCAGGATAGCAAAGGAAATCTGCAAATATACCTTAATTTTAAAAATTATACCTCTCTTCAATTTTTATGTCTTTTTGCTGGTGGTAAGCTCTGTTTCACATCAATAGAACCAAAATTGCAGCTGTCTCAGGAACAGCTTTTCTTTTTAATATTTGTTATTTGGTAGCTGCCTGTTTTGATGCAAAACTGTTTCCAAAATCATGGTCATTTGGCACACACTTCTGTGCCTTGAGCACCTTTCTGGATTTCAAATCAGTTAGTATATTTCTAAAAGTTTAGCCAGGCTGCGGAAAGAATATCTGTTTGTTAGTTCCTTACTATTCAAATACAAATATGAAAATTATGTTCATATAATCTAATCAATGAAAATATTTTTTTTT